TCAGTCATAGTAGTAACTGACACAACACGTCGTCAGTCATAGTAGTAACTGACACAACACGTCGTCAGTCATAGTAGTAACTGACACAACACGTCGTCAGTCATAGTAGTAACTGACACAACACGTCGTCAGTCATAGTAGTAACTGACACAACACGTCGTCAGTCATAGCAGTAACTGACACAAGATGTCGTCAGTCATAGTAGTAACTGACACAACATGTCGTCAGTCATAGTAGTAACTGACACAACACGTCGTCAGTCATAGTAGTAACTGACACAACACGTCGTCAGTCATAGTAGTAACTGACACAACACGTCGTCAGTCATAGTAGTAACTGACACAACACGTCGTCAGTCATAGACACAACATGTCGTCAGTCATAGTAGTAACTGACACAACATGTCGTCAGTTATAGTAGTAACTGACACAACACGTCGTCGTCAGTAACTGACACAACACGTCGTCATAGTAGTAACTGACACAACACTGACACAACACGTCGTCAGTCATAGTAGTAACTGACACAACACGTCGTCAGTCATAGTAGTAACTGACACAACACAGTCATATAGTGACACAACACGTCGTCAGTCATAGTAGTAACTGACACAACACGTCGTCAGTCATAGTAGTAACTGACACAACACGTCGTCAGTCATAGTAGTAACTGACACAACACGTCGTCAGTTATAGTAGTAACTGACACAACACGTCGTCAGTCATAGTAGTAACTGACACAACACGTCGTCAGTCATAGTAGTAACTGACACAACACGTCGTCAGTCATAGCAGTAACTGACACAACACGTCGTCAGTCATAGTAGTAACTGTCAGAACACGTCGTCAGTCATAATAGTAACTGACACAACACGTCGTCAGTCATAGTAGTAACTGACACAACACGTCGTCAGTCATAGTAGTAACTGACACAACACGTCGTCAGTCATAGTAGTAACTGACACAACACGTCGTCAGTCATAGTAGTAACTGACACAACACGTCGTCAGTCATAGTAGTAACTGACACAACACGTCGTCAGTCATAGTAGTAACTGACACAACACGTCGTCAGTCATAGTAGTAACTGACACAACACGTCGTCAGTCAGTAACTGACACAACACGTCGTCAGTGATAGTAGTAACTGACACAACACGTCGTCAGTCATAGTAGTAACTGACACAACACGTCGTCAGTCAGTAACTGACACAACACGTCGTCAGTCATAGTCATAGTAGTAACTGACACAACACGTCGTCAGTCATAGTAGTAACTGACACAACACGTCGTCAGTCATAGTAGTAACTGACACAACACGTCGTCAGTCATAGTAGTAACTGACACAACACGTCGTCAGTCATAGTAGTAACTGAAACAACACGTCGTCAGTCATAGTAATAACTGACACAACACGTCGTCAGTCATAGTAGTAACTGACACAACACGTCGTCAGTCATAGTAGTAACTGACACAACACGTCGTCAGTCATAGACACAACACGTCGTCAGTCATAGTAGTAACTGACACAACACGTCGTCAGTCATAGTAGTAACTGACACAACACGTCGTCAGTCATAGTAGTAACTGACACAACACGTCGTCAGTCATAGTAGTAACTGACACAACACGTCGTCAGTCATAGTAGTAACTGACACAACACAACACGTCGTCAGTCATAGTAGTAACTGACACAACACGTCGTCAGTCATAGTAGTAACTGACACAACACGTCGTCAGTCATAGTAGTAACTGACACAACACGTCGTCAGTCATAGTAGTAACTGACACAACACGTCGTCAGTCATAGTAGTAACTGACACACCACGTCGTCAGTCATAGTAGTAACTGACACAACACGTCGTCAGTCATAGTAGTAACTGACACAACACGTCGTCAGTCATAGTAGTAACTGACACAACACGTCGTCAGTCATAGTAGTAACTGACACAACACGTCGTCAGTCATAGTAGTAACTGACACAACACGTCGTCAGTCATAGTAGTAACTGACACAACACGTCGTCAGTCATAGTAGTAACTGACACAACACGTCGTCAGTCATAGTAGTAACTGACACAACACGTCGTCAGTCATAGTAGTAACTGACACAACACGTCGTCAGTCATAGTAGTAACTGACACAACACGTCGTCAGTCATAGTAGTAACTGACACAACACGTCGTCAGTCATAGTAGTAACTGACACAACACGTCAGTCATAGTAGTAACTGACACAACACGTCGTCAGTCATAGTAGTAACTGACACAACACGTCGTCAGTCATAGTAGTAACTGACACAACACGTCGTCAGTCATAGACACAACACGTCGTCAGTCATAGTAGTAACTGACACAACACGTCGTCAGTCATAGTAGTAACTGACACAACACGTCGTCAGTCATAGTAGTAACTGACACAACACGTCGTCAGTCATAGTAGATGTCGTCAGTCATAGTAGTAACTGACACAACACAGTCATAGTAGTAACACGTCGTCAGTAGTAGTAACTGACACAGTAGTAACTGTCGTCAGTAACTGACACAACACGTCGTCAGTAGTAGTGACAACACGTGTCACAACACGTCGTCAGTCATAGTAGTAACTGACACAAGATGTCGTCAGTCATAGTAGTAACTGACACAACATGTCGTCAGTTATAGTAGTAACTGACACAAGATGTCGTCAGTCATAGTAGTAACTGACACAACATGTCGTCAGTTATAGTAGTAACTGACACAACACGTCGTCAGTCATAGTAGTAACTGACACAACACGTCGTCAGTCATAGCAGTAACTGACACAACACGTCGTCAGTCACAGACAGAACAGAACAGACGTCAGTGGGTGTCGTCAGTCATAGACACAACACGTTGTCAGTGAGTGTCGTCAGTCATAGACAGAACATGTCGTCAGTGAGTGTCGTCAGTCACAGACAGAACATGTCGTCAGTGGGTGTCGTCAGTCATAGACAGAACATGTCATCAGTGGGTGTCGTCAGTCATAGACAGAACATGTCGTCAGTGGGTGTCGTCAGTCACAGACAGAACATGTCATAGCCACAGTGGGTGTCGTCAGTCATAGACAGAACATGTCATCAGTGGGTGTCGTCAGTCATAGACAGAACATGTCGCCAGTGGGTGTCGTCAGTCACAGACAGAACATGTCGCCAGTGGGTGTCGTCAGTCATAGACAGAACATGTCGCCAGTGGGTGTCGTCAGTCATAGACAGAACATGTCATCAGTGGGTGTCGTCAGTCATAGACAGAACATGTCATCAGTGGGTGTCGTCAGTCATAGACAGAACATGTCATCAGTGGGTGTCGTCAGTCATAGACAGAACATGTCGCCAGTGGGTGTCGTCAGTCATAGACAGAACATGTCGCCAGTGGGTGTCGTCAGTCACAGACAGAACATGTCGCCAGTGGGTGTCGTCAGTCATAGACAGAACATGTCGCCAGTGGGTGTCGTCAGTCATAGACAGAACATGTCGCCAGTGGGTGTCGTCAGTCACAGACAGAACATGTCGTCAGTGGGTGTCGTCAGTCACAGACAGAACATGTCGTCAGTGGGTGTCGTCAGTCACAGACAGAACATGTCATCAGTGGGTGTCGTCAGTCATAGACAGAACATGTCATCAGTGGGTGTCGTCAGTCATAGACAGAACATGTCGCCTGTGGGTGTCGTCAGTCATAGACAGAACATGTCGCCAGTGGGTGTCGTCAGTCACAGACAGAACATGTCGCCAGTGGGTGTCGTCAGTCATAGACAGAACATGTCGCCAGTGGGTGTCGTCAGTCATAGACAGAACATGTCGCCAGTGGGTGTCGTCAGTCATAGACAGAACATGTCGCCAGTGGGTGTCGTCAGTCATAGACAGAACATGTCGCCAGTGGGTGTCGTCAGTCACAGACAGAACATGTCGCCAGTGGGTGTCGTCAGTCATAGACAGAACATGTCGCCAGTGGGTGTCGTCAGTCATAGACAGAACATGTCATCAGTGGGTGTCGTCAGTCATAGACAGAACATGTCATCAGTGGGTGTCGTCAGTCATAGACAGAACATGTCGTCAGTGGGTGTCGTCAGTCATAGACAGAACATGTCGCCAGTGGGTGTCGTGAATCATACTAGTAATTGATACTATGTATCCTCAGTTATATTTGTTACTACCAAGGACGTATAATACAGAATTGTACATCCCTGTTACTACATATCATTTCGTAAGTTTGAGGCTTTTAAAGTTTTGCCATCAAGTGCTCCATTCAGTTTCCGAGTAATTGACCAGGTATATTATGAGGAATCATCACAATCAATTTCCGTTTAATAACTTGTTTTCCTTTTTAAAGTATAAATTTTGTCAGTGTGTATCTTCGTGAAGTAAGTGTGATTTTGTAGATCATGTTAATGTACAGGTATGTCAGGACTCTAGACATGGTGTTTTTATTTACCACACCGAGACTGGTGAGAGACCACAGGTCTAGAGACCTTGTCGCTATCGATCACCTAGATCACATATTTATTTAAACGTCCATTTAATTCGACCTCCACGATAAACTTATTAGCCGGGGCGACCGTAACACGGCGGGACGAGAGATGATATATTGGTGCCGGTCGGGGAAGTCGGTGGGATGGATGAGAGAGAGCGCTTCAACACTCCAGGAAAGCCTACACCACCGTGGCGTTAAGACGAATTTCACAGTTTTTTCTTACCTAACATCACTTTGCCAAATAAATCAATTACAAATTAAAGACTCTGTTTTTTCCCATTTACACTAGTGTTGTGGTGTTATCGCTGCAAAATCCGTGACTGAAGGAATAGCAGGGCTTCTCCCGTGTTGGCCGACAGCCAGATCTCTGCCTGCCCTCCACCATTCTAACTCTACATTTGGCGCCAAAGGGCTCGGTCAAAAACTATCAGATACTTACGGTCTATCTTCTCCCCAACAAATACATTTATTACGGAGCAATGTACATTGACAGTCGGAGTTGTTCCTTTGACAATGCAAGCAGTAACGGCCTGTGCTCTCTACCAAAGTGTTACACGTTCACAATAACTTGATATAATACTATTGAAGAATGGACGTCAACACAGGATAACGCTCTCTTAAAAGTAAAGGTCAGTATTTTCTGTTTTTGTTTTTTTTTTACTATTTTTTTTCCTATTTTTGTCTTCCGCATCAGAGTACATGTGGTTTAGGAATTGGTATATTGTTTAAACTCCTGGGGATTTCACTGTGTTGCTTCTCATTTTTTTCAACGAATGAAAAAGAAATAAGAATATTTTCCTTATTGTTAACAGGCGTTTGTAAACAACCAGGATACATATTTATATACTGACTCGTTGCATGACACTCGAGTAATTATGTAGACGATTGTTATGTTGTTGATAATAATACACTAACTTGTGGACAAACGCTCGTACTCTGCTCTCTGACGAGTTCGATGTTCGCTTTAGCAGCACTATGAAGTAATGCCCCTCATCAGACATTGACTTACACGGAGCACGATCAACACTCACGATACAACTTTAGCTTATCATTAAACTATACATCATACGGGGAGATAATTTTGTTCAAAATTATTTTGTATAAAACTAGATCAAACAATAATTACATTTTAGCTTACCGTTTACATTAGAAACATAGCAAATATATCTACAGATAAGTTTATCTACGTGAATATATTCTCTACATCTGATGGCTGTTGGTTTACACAGAGCATTTCATTCTTGTTTTGGATTTCTATTTCAGAATGAGGTTGTGTTACGTCCAGTTAAAGACAACGGTCATTGTTGGCATAGTGTGGCTGTTTCTTCTTGATACTGCAGCCATGAAACAGACACGTAACAAGCAACGGACAGATACAGACGCAGGACGGCGGACAGCAGACAAACGCCGTGGAGCGATGAAAGCGAAAATGCGAACGCAAAACCTACCGCCTTTCGGCGAGGAATTAAACCCTGTCAAAGGCCACGGTTCTAAGAAGCAGCTTGGAGCAAAAGTCAATGACATTATTCGTCCAACCAGAGGAAGGAAGAACTCATTTGTGATTACCAAAAGACAGCACTTAAAGAAAGAATGGTGTAAAACACAGCATTTTACACAGGTGGTTCGGGAGCCGGGATGTCTTAGTCGGACTATAGTCAACAATTTTTGTTACGGGCAGTGTAACTCATTCTTCATTCCTAAGTCAGACCGTCGTAAACTGAAGGAGGCAGCCTTTGTGTCGTGTGGATTCTGTAAGCCAAGGGCTTTCTCTACTATCCGGGTTACTCTCATGTGCCCTGGAAAAAACTATAGACTCAAGCGAAAACGCATTCTCAAGATAAAAAAGTGTCGTTGTATGGCACAGAAGGTGGATATGCATTTGTGACAGTGTGGTCATACACGTGCGCGCGTGTGATAGATATGTTGACTGGTTTTGTAGGTGCGTAATACCTATTTCAGGAGAATACTATGGTGCTTGCGGAACTTTCAGACAAAACGTTGTAACGTCTGTTCCGGTGGATGTGGTAATAGTAACGGGTACGGAAACATTTGTTTCCCAAATATACTGATCAAAATACTTTTCTCAAGTGCAATATTGTTCGTGTTACGTGTAGATTTCTGACTCAAGTGTCCTTAAAGCGTTAGTGCTTCCTTTCTTAAATGTGTACAATGTACATTGGTACCGAGGTGTGATTTGTTGTCGACCAAGACACCGGAAAAATACCTAGGTTAAGTCGGATGTTGACCAAGATACCAAACGAGGTTCCGAGGGTTGGTAGGGTGTTGGCAGAGACACCGGACGAGGTTCCGAGGTTTGGTCGGGTGTTGGTCGAGACACCGGACGAGGTTCCGAGGGTTGGTCGGGTGTTTGCAGAGACACCGGATGAGGTTCCGAGGTTTTGGTCGGGTGTTGGTCTAGACACCGGATGAGGTTCCGAGGTTTTGGTCGGGTGTTGGTCGAGACACCGGACGAGGTTTCGAGAGTTGGTCGGGTGTTGGCAGAGACACCGGACGAGGTTCCGAGGGTTGGTCGGGTGTTGGCAGAGACACCGGACGAGGTTCCGAGGGTTGGTCGGGTGTTTGCAGAGACACCGGACGAGGTTCCGAGGTTTTGGTCGGGTGTTGGTCGATACACCGGACGAGGTTCCAAGGTTTTGGTCGGGTGTTGGTCGAGACACCGGACGAGGTTTCGAGAGTTGGTCGGGTGTTGGCAGAGACACCGGACGAGGTTCCGAGGGTTGGTCGGGTGTTGGCAGAGACACCGGACGAGGTTCCGAGGGTTGGTCGGGTGTTTGCAGAGACACCGGACGAGGTTCCGAGGTTTTGGTCGGGTGTTGGTCGAGACACCGGACGAGGTTCCAAGGTTTTGGTCGGGTGTTGGTCGAGACACCGGACGGATATATAGGGCAAGGCTATGAGCTATAGACAAGTGGGAACTAAATTACTGTTTAATTTCCATTATGGCGACAACACAAACGCTATATTCTGTTGACACTCAAATTATTTTAAATGTCAGAGAACTGTTTTGCCTATTAAAGTTATTTATTTTGTACATGTATGTCAAATAAAACCAATTTTACACCAGTGACACGTTCGTTTGACTCCTGGATTGAATTAGTTTCATGGTGATCGTTTGTATTACAATCACTAGAATAGACAAATCAAAGACGGCAGGATAGACATTTTATTAAAGACAATAGAGCAGAGTGCGTACAGGACAGACAACATTGATATATCACAAATATTCGGACAAACATCAAGTAGAACAACGGATGGGAATTATATCATAGATGGTAGGACGGATATTATATAACCAGGAAGGATACTCTAGACTTCAGGTAAAGGCCTCAATTGATTTCCTAATATGACCTACGTAAAGCAAAGGAATAAAGCGTCTTTCTAGAGCCTTTAAACAACTCGGAATGAAAACAACAGTATATATATATATATAGAAAACCTGTACAAATTTACTAAGAACTCATTTCTACCACTTAATTAGCAAGAGTAACCCTATCTAACAATGGTCACTGACAGTGAATAACATCCACGCTACAGACAATATTTATCTTGTTCAGTTATTTACTAACTTGTTGTTATTATCTATATTCAATGCTGTTTTTCCTGACGTACTGCTGTTATATCCAGACCGATACAAAAGCATTTTTAAATGGCAAAAAAAAAAAAAAAAAAACGGCCGTTATTGTTGCATTTTCAATATATGCTGTATCGCTCATCATCGTATGGCAAGACATCCATATAATATTCCCGAACTTAGTTAGCATCAAATGCTTAGGGAGAAGACATGAGGGGAGGCGAGCGGACTCCCGGTGAGGGGACTGGAGGGGAGGGGACTAGAGAGGAGGGGACTGGAGGGGAGGGGAGTGGAGAGGAGGGGACTGGAGAGGAGGGGAGGGGACTAGATGGGAGGGGACTGGAGAGGAGGGGACTGGAGGGGAGGGGACTGGGGAAAAGGGGAAGGGGACTAGAGAGGAGGGGACTGAAGGGTAGGGGACTGGAGAGGAGGGGAGGGGACTAGAGGGGAGGGGACTGGAGAGGAAGGGAGGGGACTGGAGAGAGCTAGATGGGCGGTGCGATTGTAGGTTAGACTATTTACTTTTTGGTGAAACATTAACATATGAATGAGCATAGATTTAGCTGTCTGTTTGTCTGTTGTTAACCGTGCTCATAACTCTATTGTACCGTAACAGGTAGGGCTTTCATATTTGGCATGTTTGGTCCTGTGACAAGACCTTTCCGGTGACACCAAAATTTTTCACCATGTCACCTTGACCATGATCTTTCACCTACATTTGAAAAAAATAAACGTTGACAACAACTATTGAAACACCGGGGGCATAGTGTTTCATAAGCACATCTTGTTTATCGTTGTTATTCACTTCATTTCCTGTAAATAAACATAAGTGGGACAATATATATATAAGGAAAACTAAACTGCAATTAGTTTCTGAACTGTGGGCTGCATGCATACCAACAAAAATAAATCAGATACAAAGTTAAGGTAAAATCACTTTCAAACGACGGACATTACCACGGTATCACAATGAGATGACACGTGTCACGGCGAGGTCCAAATCACATACTTTTTGGTTAGACTGACCTGACTGTCAGTTGGAAGCTGTTCCGGTGAGTGGCAAAACAATAACTGACCGTCCTTTAGGTGAGGTGACTATCAGATGACAGACGTTACAGGGAGATGACTATCAGATGAGAGACGTTACAGTGAGGTGACTATCAGATGACAGACGTTACAGCGAGGTGACAATCAGATGACAGACGTTACAATGAGATTGCTATCAGATGACAGACGTTACTGTGAGATGACTATCAGATGACGGACGTTACATCGAGATGACTATCAGATGACAGACGTTACAATGAGATTGCTATCAGATGACAGACGTTACTGTGAGATGACTATCAGATGACAGACCTTACAGTGAGGTGAATATCAGACAACGGACGTTACATTGAGATTGCTATCAGATGACAGACGTTACAGTAAGGTGACTATAAGATGACAGACGTTACAGCGAGGTGACTATCAGATGACAGACGTTACAGTGAGATGACTATCAGATGACAGACGTTACAGTGAGGTGACTATCAGATGACAGACGTTACTGTAAGGTGACTATAAGATGACAGACTTTGTAGTAAGGTGACTATCAGATGACAGACGTTACAGTGAGGTGACAATCAGATGAGAGACGTTACAGTGAGGTGACTATCAGATGACAGACGTTACAGTGAGATGACTATCAGATGACAGACGTTACAGCGAGGTGACTATCAGATGACAGACGTTACAGTGGGGTGACTATCAGATGACAGACGTCACAGTGAGATGACTATCAGATGACAGACGTTGTAGTGAGGTGACTATCAGATGACAGACGTTGTAGTGAGGTGACTATAAGATGACAGACGTTACAGTGAGATGACTATCAGATGACGAACGTTACAGTGAGATGACTATCAGATGACAGACCTTTCAGTGAGGTGAATATCAGACAACGGTCGTTACATTGAGATTGCTATCAGATGACAGACGTTACAGTAAGGTGACTATAAGATGACAGACGTTACAGCGAGGTGACTATCAAATGACAGACGTTACAGTGAGATGACTATCAGATGACAGACGTTACAGTGAGGTGACTATCAGATGACAGACGTTACTGAAAGGTGACTATAAGATGACAGACTTTGTAGTGAGGTGACTATAAGATGACCGACGTTGTAGTAAGGTGACTATCAGATGACAGACGTTACAGTGAGGTGACAATCAGATGAGAGACGTTACAGTGAGATGACTATCAGATGACAGACGTTACAGTGAGATGACTATCAGATGACAGACGTTACAGTGGGGTGACTATCAGATGACAGACGTCACAGTGAGGTGACAATCAGATGAGAGACTTTACTGTGAGATGAGAATCAGATGACAGACGTTACAGTGAGGTGACTATCAGATGACAGACGTTACTGAAAGGTGACTATAAGATGACAGACTTTGTAGTGAGGTGACTATAAGATGACCGACGTTGTAGTAAGGTGACTATCAGATGACAGACGTTACAGTGAGGTGACAATCAGATGAGAGACGTTACAGTGAGATGACTATCAGATGACAGACGTTACAGTGAGATGACTATCAGATGACAGACGTTACAGTGGGGTGACTATCAGATGACAGACGTCACAGTGAGGTGACAATCAGATGAGAGACTTTACTGTGAGATGAGAATCAGATGAGAGACGTTAAAGTGAGATGACTATCAGATGACAGACGTTACTGAAAGGTGACTATAAGATGACAGACTTTGTAGTGAGGTGACAGTAGTAAGGTGACTATCAGATGACAGACGTTACAGTGAGGTGACAATCAGATGAGAGACGTTACAGTGAGATGACTATCAGATGACAGACGTTACAGTGAGATGACTATCAGATGACAGACGTTAAAGCGAGGTGACTATCAGATGACAGACGTTACAGTGGGGTGACTATCAGATGACAGACGTCACAGTGAGGTGACAATCAGATGAGAGACTTTACTGTGAGATGAGAATCAGATGAGAGACGTTAAAGTGAGATGACTATAAGATGACAGACGTTACAGTGAGGTGACTATCAGATGACAGACGTCACAGTGAGATGACTATCAGATGAGAGACGTCACAGTGAGATGACTATCAGATGACAGACGTTACAGCGAGGTGACTATCAGATGACAGACGTTACAGTGAGGTGACTATCAGATGACAGACGTTGTAGTGAGGTGACTATCAGATGAGAGACGTCACAGTGAGATGACTATCAGATGAGAGACGTTACAGTGAGATGACTATCAGATGACAGACGTTACAGCAAGGTGACTATCAGATGACAGACATTACAGTGAGGTGACTATCAGATGAGAGACGTTACAGTGAGGTGACTATCAGATGACAGACGTCACAGTGAGATGACTATCATATGGTGATATGACTGTCAGATGACCAACGATTCATCCAGGATACTAAACGGTTTCCCGTTTAATATAGTTTATTTTTCGCTATAATTCCGTGTTTTCCATTGTCCAGATGCGACACTCGACACAGTATAAAAAGTTGTACAAGAACATTGTGAACTGGATGATTCCATTTATTGATTTGGTTTTTGAGATATATTGTTAACATAACAACAATGACTGTTTCTATACGGTTTTTTCTTCGTCTACTTATGGAAGTAAGACGCTGACGGTCGGGGTTAACTGTCAATATAAAACAGGCTGATATGACAGCCAGACAGCATTTTATTGTGATTGTAGATAACTTTCAAAATATGAACAGGGAATTAAAAATTGTATTTATGTAGGTAAATCTATATAAGTGAATTCATGATTTTATCGCAGGAACCAAGAATAAATTTAAAAGTAAAAGCAAATAAAAAATGCCGAACCAAACATAAGGTAAAAAATTCATAATTAATTGCGCGTTTTTGACGTTTTTACCATTGCATGCTGTTATGTGGTGAGAATTGCTTACAAAATAGTTTTTGTATACCAAATTCGAGAAAACCAGAGATGTACAAGGGACTTGTTTGATGAATAACCACTCATTTTAACAATTCCTTTATTTACGTCCAAACAGGAAAATTGACGAATTTAGTGACTGGAAAGCATCACTCTTGTTTTGTCAAAATTACGAAAGTGTTGTCTCACACTGGAACAGTGATGATGTAAGCTTTTATCAAAATGATAAATTAGGATAGATGTGATAGAATGGGGTTACTATGACTTATGTTATAGTAAGGTAACTCAGAAGTCTTTAAATTTGCACATCAACGACATTATATTTAAGGTTACCTATGTTACATCAGTATTCTGGTTATAGAAACGGCAACAGTTCGTCTTCAAAATGGTTGTTCCCCTTGATTGGTTCAAATGTCGATGATCAATATTTTTTAAAGCTTAAACCAAGGTTTAATTGGAATGAAACAGTACCGCACATTATCGCCTAGTATTGACATCCGATTGGTGTTCAAAATGACCACCACAAGGATTATA